TTAAATATAAAAGAAGGAGCCATTTTCATACTCCTGATTCTGGCTCCCAGCTAGAGCTGAGTCTAAGCACTCTGGTTTGTATCCAGAGAGGTGTTTTCTTCCCTGTTACTCTATGCACAGCAGTAAGAACTAGCGAATAGACTACAGACACACTGCAAAACTAGAGGATGCTCATCTTCTCAGTGTATTTCACAGCAGCCTGTGATCCAAAGTGGAGCAGAGAGTCTTGGGATTCCTGGCAGACTGGCAGCGTCTAAAAATTATGGCATAGTTAATCACCAGGACTTGGCATATCTAGTTCGAAAGTGCACCACAGGACTGTGCATTCAGTTTGCTTCAGTCATTTGATGTAAAATCATTTCAGTAGAAATGCTGAGGTCAGGAAGAACCATTTCTATAGTGGAAAAAAACATAAAGCAAACCAAAGGAAGTGACTGATTTCTCCTATCGAGCGTGTGAACTTAGAGGACAGTATCCCACCATTATTGATATCATGCTCACATCGTTGTCCAGTCTGGTGTAAATTTAGAGGACAGTATCCCACCATTATTGATATTATGTCCAGTCTGGTGTAAAAGTAAAGGTTTTTGATGCTCCAGCTGTAAGTAACCATAAGTAGACATTCTACAGGATTGCACTGAGCAAACTCAAACTGCCATAAAGTTCATGTGTGGCACTAATTGCAATTTAACTGCATGGTTATTACAAGAGCTTTTAATTAACCCAGTCATCATACTGTGGCATACAAATTGTGCATAATAACAGCATGCTGAGTATAATGACAATACTTTTGTCTGAACTGTGAAAATCAGGAGTTTTATAATTTTCTGAGGTTTCTTTTTATGCTCTTAAATATTGTGCAGTATTTAAGACCTTTTGACCAAAAAGAAAAAAAAAAAAAGACAGAAAAAACCCTAGTAAGTTGCTGAGGCTTGTATGTTTTAAAATTTTATGGCAGTCTTTAATTCTTCCTGAAATTCAGTGAGATGTGTAATTCTCTGCTGTATATTATTTTTTGGTGATTTTGCAGTTTCACTTTTTTCAGGATATTTTCAGTTCCCTTTAAGAATCATTTTATACTCTCTTTTAGGATTTTGTGTTTGAAGCCAAGAAAAATGCTCCATTTGTGGAAGCATTCAGTGGCAATACCCGTTCAGTGAACCTGGCAGATAGTAAGAGTACATTCTGATCAGATATTGTTACAGAATGCTCATTTGTTAGATCATTAGTCTAGTGAGAGCATTCCCCTTCTCTCAAAGTTATGATTCCAGTCTGCGTCTCTCAAGACTGATGGTAATAGCGCTGAATGAATTTTTACTTGGAAGGTTAATTTTGCAGCCCAAATACTAATAATTAAGGAACAATGTAGCTAATGAATATAGTTGTAGTTCTTCAGAAAACACGGGAAATACAACTAAGAGGCATTACGCTGATACCATGTGCTCATTCCTGGGCACCTAAATAAAGCATCAAAAAAAAAAAAGCAGACATTATTATGAAAAGCATATTTATTTCTTTTTTAGACTATCAACAGCCCTGTATTGGGAAATGAGGTACTGATATTTTGGTTCTAAATTATTTGGCTCACAGACAGAACAGGCACCTGAAGGCAAGATAAAAGTCTTTACAGAAGAAACTGGGTGACAATGAAGACTGGGTCAGTGAGGGAGGCAAACGTAACTTTGGCATGCATACATAGTTAATGGTTTAAATGTGACATAAAAGTGACAGCCAAAAACAGTTAAAAAAGGCAGATTGGGTTCAGTAGGGTGAGTGGTACAAGTGCGGTGCACCAAACACAAAAAGAGGAACCACCACCACAGAAAGCCAGTCAGTCAGTGGTTCCAGGGGCTTAAATATCAGAGATATAATAACAGAGATGATGACAATATCATTGTACATGCTAAAGTATCTCATGCAGCAGAAACTATGTCTGAAAAAGTAAATGACTTTGCTAAAGAATGGTGAGCAAACTTTCAGCTGTGAGAGGTGTTGCTGTCATCAGTAGAATGGAGTTCTCAGCAATATCATTACTGTCATGCACTTGTTTCTGGGAATGTCAGAGGTGTGTGTGGTGCTGTACAAACACTTTTTATCATTTAACTGATGCTGTTTTCAAATTTTCCAAAAATGGCTTTTGGAAAAAAAATTCCATCCTTAAAAAGATATTTCACATTATGACTAGATTTTATGGTATTTATATATATATGTAAATTTTACCCAAGATTAATTTTTTAAGAAAGATATTATATTTGAAACTCAGGTTTGTTGTTAAATGTATCGGTGAATGCAAATTTCCCTGTATTGCCCAACGCAGTTCTCAAGACATTCACACAAAGAGAATAAATAGAGAGAAAGGTCATTAGACATTATTTTGAAGTAACTGTCACATATAAAACAAATATCATCCATATTCTAGGCCACTATAACTGTAAAAATTATTGATTTACTTTATTTGTTTGTTTTAGTCAGAGTAAAATGTAATGAGATTTTCTTGTAAATTCAAGAAATATAGATAGCTGTGGATTCTCCTGCCTTCCTAGTGGAGCTGTATGCTGCTGGGTTTTTTTTTCAGTTTACTGTAACTAGAACCAGGGTTTTTTTTAGCTTTCTTTTTTTTTTTTTTTTTTTTTTTCTCAACTCTTTTGCAAAAAAAGACAACTCATGTTTTCTGGTGGTGGGACTAATTTATTTGAACTAGAACCAGGGTTTTTTTTAGCTTTTTTTTTTTTTTTTTTTTTTTTTTCCCTGACCCAAAGGACTGGTACTCATCTGCTTGGAGTCTCTATTAGCCAGTGACTCGTCTCCACCATGTTTCTCCTCCCCTCACAGGCTCCCACTCCACAGTCAGTCTCTGAGGGTGCCTGGACAGCTAAGGTGCCTCTTTCCCATATGTGATGTGCCTAAAACCTACACATGTAACCCACGCCTATCATAAGACAGAGCCTCCTTCCCAGACATCTGCATCTGACTCCCACTGCCTTAAACCCTTATTTTTATTCTTGATAAGATAAAGAGTTGTTGCAGAGTCTATGGCAAGCTGGAACTTAGGTAACCCAAAACATCAGTTGCTTTGTCCTAAAAGCATAATGCTCCCTGTGTCCCATCAGTGAGTATAAGAGAACATGAACAAAGTGAGACAAGTAAAAGGACAAAAGCATCATTTTTTGTCTCTGGTAGATCTGCACTATATTGGTGCAGAGGCTGGTGGAAGGCAGCACTGAAGGGACCGACTCGCACAAGGATGGGTGAAGCCCAGAAAGAGTGTAGAGGCTTACAGAGGGAAATGGGAGTCCAGTTTATCTGGTGAAGGGCATGGAATAATGTGCTCTGAAGAAGAGCTAATGGGGGAAATAGTGGGAAAAGTGCGAGGGAGATTTGAAACTGAATTTGAGGACAACAACAGATGGTCTCCAAGGAGGGACTGCCTCTGATAAGAAATGGTGAGGGGAATACTTCAAGTGATGTTTAAAGCGTATCCCATTAAGTCCCTTAAAGGACATTGGCCATATGTCCAGGGACAATTATCTTGCAGGTAAACTCACGTGCCTCATTTGAAGGGAATTCTAGCTATAACTTGAATGACTAAATTAAGACATATGAATTGTACCCAAAAAGGACTATTCACTTTCAGCTTTACTGTCACGTTCGATTCATGAGGTGAACGCCATTCATATGTAGTAATAATCCTGATTTTTTCTTTTTTTTTGACTGGCCTGAACAAGTACAGTCAATGAGTCTTTCATTATCAGTAGTTACATCATGCAGATACGTTCATTTTATTTTAAATTTCAAATGTATTTCTTAACTGACACTATGGCAGTTCGTAGTTAGAAAGGTGGTTTCTAAGACCTGCAGTATTGTCTTTAATGTATATGATGGTAACTTGAAACATGGGATTTATTTGCTTTCTCTATTCTCACATTTGGGGATATGAAATGTGACAGGAAACAATAATTCCTGCTGTATAACATGCATCCTTTCCTCTTTCTCACGGTAGCATTTTGAATATGTTTCTGCTTCAAAAATTGGATCCCTATGTTAGAGCCAACAGCAATCTCCTCTCTCCCTTTTTCTTTTAAAAAAGTTGACTACCTATTGAAACCAAGTTTTCATAAACCATATGATATTAGTTTTTCAGTACTGCATGTGTGCTATCTTACACAAGATATGTGCTGTTCAATCTGCTTAATAGCATGTCTTATGTGATCCCCAGCATGAAGCATCTCTTATTTAATAGATATGTATGCCCTAATTATTTGTATTCAGTGATTAGGAAGAATAATGGGCTATGAACATTAATTGATATCCTCTGTTCTGCAAAATGCTCAGTATCACATTTTACAAAGAGGAAAAGGGGAGTTCACATGGATTTGTATCTGTTGACACCTAGATCAGAAAGCCAGAAATATAAATTCCCTTAATATTTTCAACATCTATGGTCCGAATCATTAAACTTACATCTTGGATCATTAAATTTACATCTTGCAAGTTTGCACCATGCTAACTGTTCACTATATGCCCTGGGTAACTGTGCTGAACATGCCATAATAATTCATCAACCCTGAAAGAAATCACAAAGTTCAATGCATATTAAAAATGTGATTGGGGTATAATAGGGAAAAAAATTGAAATGCACCACTCTTCATGTTCTCTGAGGTTACTGTTACTTTCTGCATAGCAGTACACTTGCCTTATGGAAACTAAAAAAGCCACAACCGATAAAATACATGTGGTGATTAGCTTGTACACCTGGTATTCCTTCAAAAAGAGTGATTTTGTTTGGGTTATTTCTACTGTAAAATGACTAGTTATGTGTTTACTGCATTCATTATGGATATAGTGCTGAGAAGCATGATAATTACTGGTACTTTTCTTAGCTTAATGTCCACAGAACTTTCTTTCTTATTAAAATGGACTTAAACTGAATTGAGAGATACATAATAATTTTTATTTACATGTGTTCTTTCCTTTTTCTCGTGGCTTTTTTTTCTTTTTAGGTGAACAAGGTATGTGGTCCTCCTGTAAGGAAGCCTACTCAGTCTCCAGGTTGCTCCTTTGATCAGAACAAAGATAATCAAGGAGTCAAGATATTCTCAAGAGACAGTGAAGAAACCCTCACCAGCAGAAGAAAGTAAGACATTAGTTTTACAGCCAGAAAGAAAGAATAAAGTAAGCCATTAATTTTACAACAGAATAGATTATATTCAGTGCAATGGCATGCATTCCTAGAGAATAAATAAAGACTGCAAAGAAACATTGCAGCAACACAATCTGCTCTGTTACATTTTGGAAAGAGTAATTTCATGACTAGATTTTGTTTTCTGAAATAACGGACATATGACCAGAGTAATTTAGTGTGGTTTGAAGTATTTAAAAGAGTGGTTAACGTTGGTAAAATATGAATGTTATCTCTATCTTTATGTGTAAATTTTCAAATTACATTTAACTTGCACATCAACAGGACTTATTACATCTTTCAAGGAGTGATTGTGACTTTTATCAGAAAACTATTCATATAAATAGATCAGGCTGAAGAAAAAAAGACTGTTCTTACATACCTTTTTACTGTGAAAAATGAGACAACTAAGCATTGAGGGTTAAATCTTGAAATCCTTATTCAAGCCAGTCCAGCTGATTTTTTTTCTGTCTGGCTCGTTGCTGGTAAGTAGTGAATTCAGGTGACTGCAAAGGCTTAAGAGATTTGATTTATAGCTGGCTGAGCATTACAGGGTAAAATTTGCCTAACTGCATAAGAGCTGGGTCTTTAAGCTGCCGTTAGACTCTATGGAGAGGAGGACTCAGTTCAGCCGCCCACACAACTGCAAGCATCCAGTGCCACTTGAGGATACCCTAGGGTCTCCCAACTGATCTGCCGCTGCCAAGAAGGATGCAGGTGTCCTGCAAATTGTATCATATATATTCCAGCCTTCTCCAGTTATCTTGGACAGCTGAGGGCATCTCAAAGGCCAAGCTATCTTTGGACAAATGATTTGAGTATTCAATGACTGTAAGAAATACTTGCACTGTAAGGCGTAAGGATAGTATTACATTTGAGACTAAAGGCCCTGTTATGCAAATGAAGTACGAAGTTAAAACCAGAAATTTAATTTCCATCCCAGTGTTTGCCGAAATACAGAGAGGTTTTCTTTGTCCTCATTTTCCTACTATTTCAGTTTGCAATGCCCAAGGAAACCGAAGTGAGAGAATTGCAGGGAATAATTGCTCACTCCTGATGTCTGGAGAAGAAAAAGTGCCTCTGAGCTTCAAAGGCAGACCTTTCTAGTTAGTGCAAGGTCCTTCATGTTCCATGTAGTGGACAAAAAAAACCCAACACCAAACACAGGATTTAGGGAACATTGTGGGAAGGGAAAGAGATGCAAACCACAAGTTTGCTTTAGCCAGCACAGATGTTCACTGGGCAATACCCGTTATACTGGCACATTTTCTTTCTTTTGTGTAGCTAAGCAAGTTCTTGATGTTTTCTTATTCAAACATGAAACCATATTCTAAAATATCACTTAATCCAGTTCCTTGTTTCAAAATAAGTGGTGTCTGGATTGACCTCAGGGGGGGTTGCCCAAAAGAAGACCTTAAGGGGCATCAAAGGCAGCGGGCAGCAAAACCAATGTTGTTTTCCCATGACTTCCCCCTGCTTGAGATGCTGGAAACATTTTATGGCGTGCAACAGGCGCCCCACCAAAAGGCAGCGCAGGACCGGGGGAGGTTTGAGATCCACTGACACAGATTTCTGTTTAACAACTTCATAGTTGATATCATCTTCACTTGCTGCCTCCTGGATCGCCGCCTTCCTTACTAGTCGAAATGGCTTGATGTTTCACTTTATATTCCCATGGCAACTGTTAACAACTCCTCACATGGAAGGGGGACTCCAGCGAATCTTGCAGCCTGCCTTTAAGGAAGTGCTGTTCTCTGAGTCTGACTCCACTTTATTTACCTCCCGTGTGCTTCTGGCAGCAGGTTGCTCTCAGCATCTTTCACAGGCTTTAGCAGAAAAGAATCGGCTTCTCCCAAACAGTTCAGACCTTATCGACGACTGTTATCTTGGGGAAAACAAATGAACAAAAAGACTCCATTAAACATGTAACTCCTAAGAGTTCCCTAATTTCCTGGTATTTTTCAAATGCATCTCCAGGTGAGAGTCTACCTTTCAAAGTGCATGTTGGACTGCCTCTGCCTGAACTTCTCCTAAATTATTTTTACCATCAGATCTAAGCTGGTATTTTCTGGCACTATGTGGTACAAGATAAAAAGCAAATTTCTCTGTGCTATTGACACCAAAAATCATCAGATGAATTAAAAACAATTCTACGCAGAACCTTCCTAGTAACAGACAAACTTGAAAGCGTATTTTCCTCTGGAACTTAACATTGCAGACAGCTTTTAGCTAGGAGAATAAAAGTGTAAAAAAAATGAACATTTCCAAATAAATGATATCTGCAGCTTCAACTGACTGTAATTGCACATTTGTGCTCGGCTGCCTATAATTACATGCTATCTGGTCTAGAAGATGATGATGTGAAAATTGACATTCATACCATCTGCCTTTCTAACTACTTTGGTCAGACATCAACAGGGGCTGAAATCAGTCATTACTTCTGTGTTAACTTTAGCTTTGCCTCAGGATGTATTTACTAATAAACTGAATAACTGACCTTTCTGTCAGAATGCAGTTTGTCACAAGACATTATGGTAGCTGTATTTATTTCAGTTTCTCTATTATACATGGATTGATTGCGCGGGAGAAGTTCAAACTCTTTACTATGGAGGACTCTCTAAACACTACTTTTCATCCAGAATGTAAACCCAAAGCATAGACAAAATCAAAATCAATCCCACTCAATGGGAAATGGAGGAAAAGTGCAAACATACTGCACATACTGGATGCAGTTTTGGTGATGGTGAAATATAAGATATGGGAGAGTGTGGATGAATCATACTTATTTATTTAAAGTATATTGTGTATAGGCAATTGTGTGATGCATAGTTAAAATTGACCCTGCACGAGGTTTACTGAAGTGTTGTTTTAGACTCAGTAGGGAACTCATATCACATTTAATAGGCATAGTAAATCTAAATCACTGTGGTTTGTGTAAAATATTTGCCCTACAATTGCAAGAAAGAACACGTGGCTTTTTAAATTACAGACTGCATATAATCACTCATGTTTTATCTGCTTTAATTTGGAGTCAACAGTACTAACAACTTAATTCCTTATGCCTTTTTAGGTCTACATTAATCAAATGTGGGGAAATACATAGAATATTTGGTATTTTTTCACAAGTCCAGACACCATATAAGAAGTTAACATAAAGTGAAGCTTGCTGGCTTATGGAGCAATGAGTACAGTATTTGCTGGTGCCTTTCTTTGTGCCTGCAGGTCATAGATAACTCAGTATAGTGTGATGTTTTAAATCAGAATGAATAAATATTTTAATTTTTCACAGCAGGAATGGGTCTTCCAGGAAGAGATTTTCAATACATAAGCAAACAATTTATAAACATAAATATCATAATCCAGTTACAAACATACTAACTAAAAAGTCATTTGTTTTGATTTAAATACAAAATCTTATCATTAGCTCTGGGCATCTTGAAAATTATTTAAAATAGCAATAAATAATTTATAACCTACCAGCGTAGCACATGATAAACTGATGTCATTGTCAGACAGTAATTTAAATATCCACTAAATATTTAACACCTGCATCTTAAACCCATCTTAACTAAATCTGAGTTTTTCCATAACTTTAATAGTTAAACAGTCTTTGTAGTATTTGTAACACTGTGTAGGGGACTAGTTGATAGCACTTTTTAAAAACAGATGACTTATTCATACACACCTATTTTTTCATTTGCTATGCTTTTTTGGGGGGGGAACATTTTTTGGTATATTTGTACAAACGTAACATTGAAAACTGTATCACAAGTATGCAAGAAAACTTCAGGTTGGAGGAAAATAATTCCTGTTCCAGAGCATGAGTAAAGTTTGGTTTTTTTTTTTGTTTGTTTGTTTTTTTTTTAACTTGGACCAATGAGAGTGTCAGCTTTCTAAACTACTGAAGTGTATCTGAGAGAATCAAACTTATCTAACGGGAAACTGACAAAATGATTTAAAAAATCACTGGAACTTATGGAGAGCAATAGAATAAGCGCATTCTTTATCTTCTTGTAGAAACACATAGCAGCAGTACTGCTTAATGCTATTGATTGACACTGTCAATTATTTCCCCTGTTCCCCTGTGCAGAGAATTTATCAGCCACCTCCGGCTCTACAGGGCGTTTTACGGCGGCCTGGCTGATCAGCTGTGCGGTAACGAGTTGGCAGCTGCAGATGGACTCCCGTGTTGGAATGGAGAAGACATTGTAAGAAGGTACTTTTCTCACTCACTTTTGTCTTTTCTTTTGTATTTCGTGTTTCTCTAAAGTAGCTTCCAACTCCAGTACGTTGTTTCTGTAGGTATGTGTCAAGGTTAGTTTTAAAACAAATCAACATTGGTTTCCTTCTCTGAGGCTTCACCTGTAAATAGTAAAAAAAAAAAGTCTCCCTGCAACTCTATTTTGAGGAAAAACAGAATTCTACTCTTCTTCAGACATGACTCCTTCAAATTTATGGCACCTGAACATATACTGGAAAAGGAGCTGGACTGGCATTTACAAAATACAGTTGGAGAAAGACAATATGGATTTTTGTTTGAGCTTGATCTTTATAAAATACTCCTATTAATACAGAGTATGGGATAACAGACTCCAGCTATTTGCTTAAAACTTCTCTGGCTCTGAAGAATGAAGTAATCTCATATATATGGTTTCTCAGGAGAGAGCTAAAAGTTAAGACACAAAGATAAAACATTTTAAGGGTGAAACACATGTATAGTTTTATGTATGCAGTGTCTTGGGAGACATCATTCAGCAGCAATGGCAAAGAAGAGATAATAATAAACTGCTATGCTCCTGGATGTATATCTCTGGAATCAATATATCTCACAGCTTACAAAACACTAGCATTTGTGGATGTCAGAAGGATTTTCAGAGAGCTGATCTCTATGTTTTTGCTTTATTGCTCTCATCACCGAAACAAGTTTTTCTCTGAGCAGAAAGTCCTTGTGATGACTGAGACCAAAATATTAAAAGGTTTATTGCAATTTTTTTTTATAAAACAAATGCTGTTAGTGCAGCATATATTAGTAGGTAGTGTCAAAGGTCACATCAAGGAAGGTGGCAAAAGGCTGTGAGGTGAGTTAGTGAAGTGGGAGATAGCTGATATCAAATAGAAGGAATAGTGAAGGCCTGCACCTTCAGGTATCTCTAAAAAGGTTAGGTAGGAGCTGTGATTTATTGATTAATGATACCTAAGGAAACTTAATGGATAACCTTTCAACAAACAGCTTCAGGCCTACTTCTCTTTATCATTTTGGGTAGTCCAATGGCAGCAACCAGTGGCAGCACCAACGGCAGCACCAGGGCACAATGGTTGACTCCCTTGATAGTCTCATTGGGAATCTTTGTCCTAAAGTTTCAGTCATCTTCTGAAGATGACACGTCCTTTCTTTGAGATTTAATGTCAGCTTTACCTCCTGGCTTTTGTTTTGCTGCCCTTCCCCAGATGAGTTATACTACTCCTACCAAATGTTTCAGTAACAGTATGAAACTAGCATCTTGTAATTACAGATTTCCTAAGAACAGTGTTCTTCGATGATTGCTTTTGGCTGCTTATAGTCTTACTATTAATATGTTATATCTTTTCAAACCTATATCATTCTATTAACTGGTACTATTGTATTTAGCTATTTGTGTTGTATTACTATACTATTACTATGTTTATACAGTAATACAAAAATAAGATAGGATAGGATAGGATAATTTCATTTGGAAGGGATCTACAACAATCATCTAGTTCAACTGCCTGACCAGTTCACAGCTGACAAAGTTAAAGCATTTTATAAACAGCATTGATCAAATACTTCTTAAACACTGACAAGCTTAGGGCGTTGGACACCTCTTTAGGAAGCCTGTTCCAGTATTTCTTTGTTGGCTCACTGCCTACCTGTGACAAGAAGTTATCTCCTAAAAGCTTTAGAATTTCCAAGATCTGCTTATCGCAGTGGTATGATATTCCCAAGCTGAAATCTCCCATAAGGACAAGGGCTAATGATCTAGAAATGATCCTAGTTGCCTATGGGATAACTCATCAGTGCTGCCATCCTGGCTGGGTGATCAGTAGTAGTCACCCACTACAATATCTCCTTTATTTTCCATCCTCCTAATCCTCACCCATAGGCTCTCAGTCACATCATCACTAACTGTAATGATAAAGTTTGATATATATATTATACTGTTTGATTTTGATTGAGAAGGCACTTCAGTCCTTATACAGAAATGAAACATTTACTAAATTCTAGATCATAGTGTCTTATAAAAGTAATTTAATTTGATGAAAAATACTTAATTAGTGCAATGTATTTATTTGTGGATCAGCCTAAAGGTAAAACTGGGGACAAAAACACTCTATCTTAAAAGTAAGACAACTTTGGTATTTAACTTATACATTTCCTTACTAAAATACTTTGGTTTCATATTTATTTTTTGATATATATATATATATATTTTTGCTCTGAAAAAGATGTTAACTTCCTGAAAGTGCTGACGTGTAGATAATATTTAGAGGTACAGATTGCTGATTAAAATCAGAAGATTAGGATACTCTGAGTTGCTCTAGGTAATCAACTGGAGCTGAGACCTGAAGATTAGTTCCTACATCTCAATACCTCTACTAGTACACTAAATATATTGTACATATTCTCCTGCTTCAGTTGCTGAATGAAGGTTCGCACATCTCTCCTCTTCCTCCCCTTCATTTGCCTTATTACTTAGTGAAAATGTTCTCTGTTCGATTTTATTTGTTTTTATTTGTTCTTTTAGAACTGGAGGGGGAAAAAAAGATCTTTCCTGCTCTTTGAATGAGATCACTTTTTTGACTAATTATTGCAGAACTGTTAGTCTAGGGAAAAAATATCACCCTTCTTTTTGTGCTTAGGCACGTCTGTGTGCCTGCTCTGAAAATAAGGCACGTGCAACACAAGCACACTGGAGAGGAGCACACACATTGGGTGTGCAGTGCCTGGAGGTTTCTCTTGGTTATGGGAAGTCAAACTCAGTCTCAGAAACACACCCAAATAAATTCTGTGAATTCAGAAACAAGGAGGTTGTGTTTGAGCAAGAAAGACTCCTGATCTGCCCCACAGATTGTGCTGGGAAATGTCATTTGAAATGGATCAATGAATCAATGGACTGGCAAAGAGATCTAATGGGTGATGAGCAGGGTCAGAAGTGGTTGTGTTTGGGGATATTGTGAAAGAAAAGCTGTCAGGCTTTGGGAATGTGGGCTGGAGGCAGTGAGCCTAACCACTGTGCTGGCAAACAAGATTGGAAGGCACTAATAACTTGCAAAAACCAGGTACGTGATTCAAAATTAACTTGATGAAACTCAGCCTGGGCCCAATTTTAGCATTTTCAGGAAAATTGTGACATCCTTGATGAGTATTCCCAGAAGCATTATAAGATCAAATGAGAATCTAGGAAACTCAGGTTACCAAAACAAAAAAAAAGAGAAAAAAGAGTCGAATTAGATTTGTTTAACCTGGAAAAGAAGAACTGTAAGGAGAAAAAGCAAAGTGCAAACAGGCTGTTGCTAGGGGGAAGAAAAGTGTCTGTTATCTGCTTCCATAACAGCTAGAACACACAGCAAACACTTAAAAAATATTCTTATTAAATATTAGGGAGAGTTTTCTAGTGGCAAGAACAGTAACAGGCAAAAATAGGTAGTTTTGGGGTCCAGCATCTGTCTGAAGGAGGATGTTTAAGAGCATGCAAGGCAAGGCACTGAGAAATGATGCAGCAAAAGCCGATTTTTCCTTAGAGATATGGAGATAAATTGGATAACCTCTTACAATCTCCTCCAGCCCTCTGATTCTGAATCTAGGATTATCTAAATCCTCTGTTGCTCAACTTCTGTTGCCATGATCCCAGGATACTGTGACATTTTAGAAACAATACTGACCTGAGCAGGCATCATAGCTTTTCTCTGTAATACTGAAGAACACCTGAACCTGTGGACCCACTCAATCTCTTCTCTTCTTTTTTTTTCTTTTCTCACCCCCGTCTTTCCTCCTCCCCCCCCCCCCCCCCCCCCTTTTTTTTTTTTTTTTTGTCTTCAGTGTACTTTGTTGTTGTTCCTCATGTGGGTACCGTAACTTCACTAGCTCAG